GCTTAGAAATAATACAGAAAAAAACCCCAGCAGGTAATATTATTTTTGTATAAAGCTCTCTAATTATACTAGCCATGTGCAGAATACATTAAAGATACTGTCCTAACACAAAAAAAAATGTACAGTGTGCTTTTAGATATTACATAACTAATGAGAGCAATAAATGCTGGGAGAACGAATGGATCAAGGTTACAATAATAAGATTATAGGATTCCTCCACTATGTGTGCATAGCTTAAAATTCACTTCAATTTTGCTATCTCACTCTGGGTTTTGGTTTTCATTTTGGCTTTTTCTTTCTTTGTCAGATTTAATTTTATCTCTGAATCCACCAGACCTGGCTGAAAACTTTGACCAGACTTTTGATTTTCTTTCTTTTTTCCCTTCTTTTTAAAATTGTGTTGTGCCTGCTCTGCTTGCACAGCCACCGTTGATGGCTGTGTGTTTGCATCAGAACCATTTTTACGGCCTTTTCTCTGATAGTAGTCACAGTTGAAATATACTTGAATGCTTGCACTACTTCATTCTACGTGGGGAAAGGGATACAAAAAAAGTGTAATTATGTGATTTCTACACAATTACACCTGGATTCTTAAATAGCCACCTTGAAGACCCACATCATGCACCATGCATGTGGCGTGTGAAACGGATGCAAAACTCGTGCTAATACTCCATCTTCTCCTCATCCAGCCTTAACAGTCACTTACAAACGATTTGTGAAAAATCAATAATGCTCCTTACTGGCTTTTTTGTAATGTATAAGAAAGGGCATTTTTTTGCCAATTTTTTAAACACTGAAAATATCAGGATTGTAAAATTGGATTTTTACTGATTTTCTTTGGGGTTTCGACAGACATGTATTGACAGCAACCACTTCTAGCTGAATCAGAAGTATTGAATGTATTACACAAATCATTCGATCTTCAACATATTTGAATTATCCTCATGTTAAAAAAGAAGTGATCAGGAATCTTTTTCCCTTTCAACTCTTTGCTCTTGTGTTATTATTTTTTCTTATGTTCTTTAATCACCGCAGCCTTGCAGGCTGCAAACGAAAGATAAACAAACAATGGAATATCTAATGTTTCAAATTCAAGCACAGATAGAAAAAAGCATACTCCTCAAGTCCTTATAGATTATAAATAAGTAGAGAAATGGCACAAATCTGTATTTAGAAAAATAATTTATTTCTCAATATTTGTAATGAAGGGAGTTGTCAGTCACATTAATTTTTATGTAAATTTACCTAAGCTGATGAATCATAACTGAAATATTGTCTAATCTTCCTGCTTTTGGCCAGCATTTCCATTTCTATTTCGATTGCCTCAATTTATTTTTGTTTGCTTATATAACGAGTTTTAAGGGCCCATCCCAGGACCCATAATGAGCAGAGTGAAAAGAGGAGCTGCTTCCAGGCACTGCCAGTCCCACACAAGCAGTGGCTGCCCAACACATCAGACCAGTCCCATGACAGACACTCAGCTTGGCACACAGCTGACGATTCATTATCGTTCCTTCGGTAGACATCACAGCAGAGGAGATTTTTAGGGAGGGATTTGAAGGAGGAAAATTAAGTGAGTGGGAGTGCGAAGCAGCAGCGAGGGAAAGCATGAAGGTGCTGGTTTGAAAATGTAACAAGTAGAGAGTTATTACTGAATGAAATGTGTGGGGGGAAGCCGTTGGTTTCTCCATAGGCTATTAAAAGATGGTGGGGTGGGAATAAGCTGCAAAGAGCCACAGAAGTGAGGCAGCTTTTGCTTGCCAAAATGCAGAAGGGGGAGGGGGGATGTGCTGGAACAAGGAATAGGGCTGAAGCAGCGAATGTGATGATTGATAACCAGGGCACCAGTGTCTTGCAACAGTGTTCTGTTATTCTTTATTGTTTTGTAATGCCCAAACAAAATGTCCAAAGGCCTCTTTGTACTAATGACAACCCCAACATGTTCTCAGGTGCTCTAAAAATGCACAAATAAAAATATGCAACTGCTTCTGAAAACCATTTCCCTCATTCTTTAGCCCTGATTCGAATGACACCATTCAGTTATCTATTTCCAAAAGAACTTTCTATATGAACTTTCCAGTTCTCGTTTGTCAAATTATCTTACTGTTTTTGGAAAGACTGCATATCATCTATATTTAACACCACTTCAGCTTGGTGAGGTGACTATAACATAGCATTAAACTCAGACTAAAAAAATGAGTGTGGCATTTCTAGGTTTTTCAAGTGTGTTAACTCAGAAGAGATAATTTGAATGGAAAAAGTGCTTTCCCCCAAATGTCTCTGATTTCAATAGAACTTCTTGCAGGTATTTCAGTTGAGTTAATCGGCTGGCAATTAGATGCAAACGGCCTTTGGATTAGTATTTGTGGTCACCATAGAAGCGAGTCTCAGAGAAATATGAATAAAGAGGTCACCCGAAGAACAGATATGGAAAGTCTCTCCACAGGCACTTAATTCTTAGAAATTTACAGATGAAAAATGCTATATGGATAATAATAGATAGAAATGAAATATGGATGAGAGGACACTAAAGCTGAAATAGCAAGTAGAACAAAGGGAATAAGGGGATGTGGGGACATGGTAAAAAACCAGACTAGAGCTGCAAACTTGGACAGAACTGTTTAAGACCTAAAAAAGAAAAAAAAAAAAAGAAATATCAAATCAAGGAATGAAGAGATCAGTACTGTGAGAAATTATTTGAAGGAGAGTTGGGATGGGACATGGCTATCACGGGACATAAAAGAAAGAAGAGAAGGATCAGAGAGTATAAGAGAGTATATGTGGCATATTCTGAAGAGGGAAGTCCCAGGATCATTTACCCAGCAATAGATAAGGAAGAGCAGAAGGCCTGGGTGATTTGCTGGCCTGGAGCAAGGCTGTAAGGGAAAGAATGTGTCTGTGGGGGTGTGTGTGCTTAGTGTACCTCACTGTCAGCAGCGAGACAAATCCACCTTTTTATTATGCCAGTGACCATCTATAGTTTGTAAAGACTGCAGAGGGGAAAGTCTAGAAGATATTTTTGCAGAGCTTGGATCTGTATGGCCTTCAACATTCTTCTGTAAAAGGGTGTATCTTCCAAGCCCATCACAAAGCCTCCTTGGTACACCACTTCAGACAGGTATTTCATCATGGAACAGGAATGTGGCTGAAGTAACATTCAATTAGCTTATATAATACTAAAGTAAGATACTGAGAGGGAAGAGGAATAGATAAAGGAAAGAGGCCTAAGTGCCACTGAAAAAGAAAGGAAACAGTAAAGGAAGTGAAACCACAAAATTAGATGCTGCAAAAATAACCAGAGAACTATGAACTGAAAGAAGAATGAACAAGGCTGAAAAAAGGAGCAGGCTTTCTCTTTCCCAGGGAGAAAGAAAGCAAGTGACCCACAGAAAAATCTAAGTATGTAGAACCTATAGGTATCATCCACCTGAGTGTCATTAAGAGGAGCTGAACTGGAGCGGAAAAGGCTCTTCCATACTAGGTAGGAAGACAAAGAGGTAAAGTGATGTTTAAATAACAGAACTTAGATGGAGAAAGATACAACTTTACATGCCTTATCTTTTAATCTTGTTTTTTTTCCCCCTGACTAGTCACTGGTCACTAGGAAGTGGTTACATTAATTTAATAAAATCTAAGGAAGCAAACACCTGAGCGTGCGCATAACCACAAACACAGTCCTGTCTCTTTCCATTACTTAGCATTACTCGTGTACTCCCTGCTTCACAGTTTTAACAGCCACCTGGTTCGGGGTGCATTCAGCCCCACGTCTGCCTGTGTAAGCACATAAACATCAGTCTTGGTGCTTGTGCTTGTAACCCTGCGCTCGTCCTGCGGTCAGCCTCGCTGCGAGAGGCTGGAGCTGTCTGCGCAGAGGATGCACAATGGAGCTTGCGCCTCAGCATTAGTGAGACACGCATGATCACACCCAGCCTGCCGGGTCCCCCGGGACTCACACACATAATTAGCCCCTGTACACCAGAGCCTTCATCGCCGTGTTTGCCACATGGTGAGTGTCACCCAGCGGGCCCGAGAACACGCGCACACAGAAGCCCTCCTGTCCCCAGCACTGCATTTGCCATATGGTCAGGCTCACCTGCTGGGGCTGGGGCAAGGAGACAGACGGGCAACACTCACACACATAATGAAGCTCCCCACTGGGCTGCCTTAAGAAATTAAAAAAAGAAATGAAATAAAAGTTGACATAACTGCCACATGACCAGACTCACCTGCTGAGTCTTGGGCAGGGTGGGGCGGTCACGCACACATGCATTGGCCATCTCTGCTGTGCTGCACCTCAGTGCATGAGGCCGGAATCAGGAGGGATGCGCTCGCTTCCCCTGGGGCGACAGAGACCCTGAACCCACACCGGCCCCTCTGCCCCACGCTGCCCTGAGCTGTGTGGAGGGGGACACGTAACATCATGACATCGGGCAGTAGGAAGATTTCTTCACAAAAAGGGTGATTAGACGTGGGAATGCACAGCATAGGCAGGCGATGGAGTCGCCGTCTGTGAAGATGTTACAGGACTGGACGTGGCACTTGGTGCCATGGTCTAGTTGGTATAGTGGTGCTTGGTCTTAGATTGGACTCGATGATCTCAGAGGTCTTTTCCAACCTAACCGATATTCTGTGATAACAAGCCTCGCCTCCTCAGCGCCCAGTGCGCACCTCAGGCCAACACCGACTCCCACGGGCAGGCAGGAGGCTCGGGAGAAGCTCCGGTACCGGCACAGCTCCGTCCTCCGGGGCGCAGTGACGGCAGCTGCCGAGGTGGCGGACAGCCACCAGGGAGCGGAAAACGAACCCCCTTTCCCCGACCGAGCACCGCCGGTAAACAGCGGCCGCGGGACGCGGGGCGGGGCGGGGCGGGCGCGGCCTGCGGAGGGAGCCGTGCTGCGTGAGGGGCGGGCGGCCGGCGCTGCTCCCTCACGTCCCGCCCGCCACCACCGCGGCGGCCGCCGGGCTGGGCGAGGATGGAAGCGGACGCTGCTTCCTGCTCGGGCTGTTCCCGGGCAGGCGCTCCCGGGAAAGGCTCTCTCCGGGCAGGCTGTCCCCGGGCAGGCTGTCCCCGGGGAGGGCCGTCAGTCCCGCCGCCATGTCGGGGAGCGCGGGGCTCCCCCATGGCGGTGACGCGCGTTGCCATGGCGACGGCCGGGCGGCGTTGGGGGGGTGGCGGGATGACAACAAATATGGCGGAGAGGAGCAGGACGGCAGAGACGGGTCAGTGCCAGCCGCAGTCGCCTGGGCGGGGGGAGAGGGGGAGCCCCCCTTCTCCAGGGGCTTCTGGCGGTAGAGGGGGCCTGGCTCGCAGCGGAGTGCGGAGACGGAGCCCTTCTCCTGGGGGAGACGGGGGGAGCACCTCTAGCCGGGGGCAGTGAGGTGATGAAGGAACCGCGGGAGGGGCTCCTGTCCGAGGAGCTGTGACGAAGGGCAAAGCCCCTTCCCCTGGGGAATGAGGAGAGTCTTCCCAGGGACAAGGTGGTCGTGGGGAAAGCTCTTTCAGGCAGGTAGAGAGGGAAGAATCCCCCTCATTCCAGGCCTGCCTGAGCGGGACTGACCCGCTGTGGCGTGGAAGGAGTGAGGGCCAGAGGCCGGCTCAGCCGGCCGGCGCTGCGGGGCTGAGCCCCGGTGGGGCAGAGGAGGAGGCTGATGGTGGGGCAGCCCGCAGCCTGCTCCATCCTCCCGCAGCCTGCTCCATCCTCCCGCAGCCTGCCCCATCCTCCCGCAGCCTCCTCCATCCTCCCGCAGCCCGCTCCATCCTCCCGCAGCCCCCTCCATCCTCCCGCAGCCCGCTCCATCCTCCCGCAGCCTCCTCCATCCTCCCGCACAGGGGCAAAGGTGGCGGTGGCGAAGAGCAGAGCAAACCGGCGGTGCAGAGGAGCTCCCCTTAACACAAGAATCGACCTCCTGCGTGAATTAGCGTGAAAAAATTAGACATGAAGACACAGGTCTGGGATTGAAAGTGCAGCAAAAGGCTGGTAGCTTGCGGGTTGACCTGCAGGTGCTGCTTGACCTGTCTGGGAGGTGTAAAGTACCCGGAGGCTGCCGAGAGACAGCGAGCGAGCAGCACACCTGACAGCTCCCATCTCTTACCCTGAGGATTACTTTAAGAAAGGTGCCAGATGTTATTCTTCCTATTCAGGACGTATTAACAATGGCTTTAACTGTGTATGAGAGATAAGTTTGTCTGTGGAAGTGAAGTTTTTTGTCTCCTCATAAATGGTAAGGACCCTCTAGGTACAGGGGTCTTTCCTGTTGTGACAAAATCCAATTAAGGTCTTTTCCAATCCATGTGAAAGCTCTCAAAATATTACAAATACTACAAAAATTAGAGATACTAACATTTGGAAGATGGAACAAAGATGAGAGTATCCCTGAATATTTAATCTCCCACAGTACCATACATAAATTATCTGGGTTCCTAAACCAAGAGTTCATTTTCCCAGCCTGCTATGTTAGCTGCTGCACCTCCGCTTTTCAGCCTCAGAAGTAGCACCAAATAAATATGCAATACCCATATAACTGATCTTGGATTTTTAGTCCATTTAAGGTGAAGAAAAGGGATAAGTATGTCAAATTCTGTTGTGTTCTAGGAGATGATACCGTATGCATCTAAATGGATTGTCCATATGGTTCTTGAGCTCTCTGTGTTCAGCCATACTGTTTGTGACCCCATGGAAAAACACTGTGAAGTTTATTGTGTGTTGAACTTGTCCATGAGGCAGGTGATTATTTTCATCCTCTGCACTCTGCACCACTGCTAACACAGGTGGTCAGCTCTGCCTGAGCTCTGAATTGGGGAACAGATCTCTGGTGGCCATTGGACATTGTCAGCTTTTCTGTGCCCGTGCCCTTGTCAGTGACTTCAACATGGAATGTAACTTTCATATCATTTCCAGATTAATTTACATTGTGTTCTCTGCTGGATTGCTTAAACCTGCAGTGTCACAGTTCTCGTTTTTTAATTTTAGTCTTGCCCAGAACTTTTCCCACTTCTGACCATTGCAGCTGATTAATCAATGATTTTCTCATAAGTGTTATGTTCCAGCTTGTGCTGAATTCATGTTTAGTTGCATGTCCTGGTCCATGTCTGCTTGAGTCACACAATTCTTGTCTGGCCACTTTGCAAGTTTAATTTGCAGGTCCTTCTGTTTTGGAGAAACCAGATAAGGAATTAAAAATGCAAAGAATCACAAAGATAGGGAAAAGACCCAAAACCCTCAGAGAAAAATAAGCAAGTTTGCGATCTTGGCTCACTTTTAAGAAAGGTCATGGAAACTAGGCTGTGAGAAAAAAAGGTGGGGTGTTTTGGATTTTTTCTGACTGTCAGCTGACACTAAGTTGACAGGCAGGTTCTTTCCATGGGAAATCCCTCAAAGAATCTCTTTTTCCCTTCCATTTACTGCTGGGTGATGCTGACACTGTTGTTTAACACATAACTGGGGAATGTTCCTGCTGCATCCTCGCTGCTTAGTGTGTCTTCACCATGTGTGAGATCTTGAGCAGTCTTTAGGAGATATAGGAATGTAGCTCTGGAACCTGCATTTTGCACAAATGCAAGGAGAATAAAGCCATTACAGAAGGACTGAACATTGTTCAAACAATATAAATCAATCTAGCCAGTAGGAGAGTATGAGTATGTTATACTTGCTGGATTTTTTTTTTTAACAGCAACATCTTGTTTTTAGTCAAGGATCAGAAAACACAAGTAATAACTCATCTCTCATCTTCTTATCTTGAAATACTGATAGTTATTTGCAATTTTTGCATAAGGAAACTGTATTACAGAGAAATTGAAGGTAACTTATTCATGGTTTATAGCAGCACAGATTGCTGTGATGGACCATTCTTTACTGATTTAGTTCAGAATCCAGGTTTGACAAGAGTCAATGTCAGAAAAAATACAGTGTGCACTTAGAGATAAGGGATTATAAAAATTAGGTTTCTTCCAAAAGGTTATCTGACAGTGAATTATACACATCTAGAATGCTTATGACCCCTCAAAACTCTTAGATTTGAAAATACACTGTGTCAAGACATTTTGTAAATTAATTATACTTTATGGAAAATACATCTTTTTCTAAATCAAGAAAATTTTTTTTGAGTTTTATTAGTATCTCTTTCTATTATGGGGAAGTAAATATCTTAATCTGTTTTATTCTCTTTCCCGATATGCAAACCTTTTCATATTCTATTCCTTTTCCCAATAGAAGATTTTTTGTTTCTGTTTTTTTGCAAATTTTTAACCTTTTAATTTTTTTTTGATTGAGGAGGGCCATTAGGACACACAGAATTACACAAAGCATTTCAGAAGAGGGCTTTCCATCAGCTTTTTGTCTTCAGTTAGGCTCAGCATTGTTCTCTACATCATAGTTTCAGTGCTATTTCCAGTAAAATTGAGACTTAATATGGAAGGTAGATTATCTCACACCTGTCTAGTACAGAGTTCATATTCTGCTGCTATCCTCACTGGACTAGGCAAACATCTGCTCTAATCCATTAAAATAGTTTCTGTGTTCTGATGTTTAGTTAGAGTGCTGCAAATCAGCTCACTTTACTCTGAATAAATCATTTTACCATTGTAGTTGGCTCCTCAGTCCTACCTGCTTTCTTGAAATTGTTTAAATCAGCTTTTTGCAATAAACTCTGAATTTGTATGCCTCCTGTTTGGTTTTCCAGACTGAAACCTTCATGTCTCAAACTAGGAATCCAACTTAAAAGCAACGTAAATCTTCACAAATGAAGCCTGCAGGAGGATAAAAATGATTGAGTCTAGTTAGTTACTCTCAGGAGCTTCTTGGTTTGGCTTCCAGTTGTTCTGCTCAGCTGACCTTGCTGTCATAAACCTGTGGAAGATACAGGATACAGGAAAACCACCAGTTTAGTTAAGTTTCATCAAAACCAGATGAATGTTATTTTTCCAGTTCTGCAGCAAAGAGGACATTTTAACTTCTCTAAGGAAGGTTTAGGAGTAGGTCATTGTGAGTACAGAATGCCTGTATTTGTTGAAGTTTTTGACTCATGAACCAGATGAAAGTGTTTTCCAGTTTAGAATTTCACTAGTTATCTCATTCTCCCCAGGTTTCTGTTCAAGGCATCTGTATTACCTTCAGAGGACTTGCATCTGGAGACCTGAATGATCAAAGGGTGCAGGTTATCTCTAGTTCTGTAATAGTTTTCTATCTGAGGTAACTGCATATTAGCCTGGATTGACAGTTCTAATATGTGTTATTCCACAATTGCTAGTCATTTGGTGGATATTAGTATTTCATTGTGTCATCATCACTGAAATCATACTGAAAGCAAGAAAAGGCATTTACTCACAGTACTGGACAGGATATAAATAAATGTCTTTAGACCAGAAATCCTGGTTATCGGAATGAGCAGGCTTCCCAGCTGGATGTGGAGTTTTTAATGTTTATTTACATGTCACAGTCGGTACCTTGCAGAGTGGTGTTGAGTCACATTTCATGTTAAGAATGGTTGGAATTTACAAAGTGTTCACAGCGGTGCTGCGACCTGGCTTCAGGGAAAAAATCTACAAACCTCTGTTGAATGTTCAAGCCCCACCCAAAGTTTGTGTAGTAATTAGTGTTCCTAAAACACTTGGTGTTCAGCTTATTATTTCAGAGATCTGCACATGAAGGGGCCAGTAGAACAGCTGTGTAAATTCTGCAGTGTTTTCTAATTGATTTCAATAGGATTATGCTGAGCTGGAGTATTTTGAAGATATCTTTTCATTATTCTTTCCAAAAAAATATTCTTTAAAAAATATTTAATCACATATGGTATGACAACATTCTAGTATCAGGAACATATCTGCTTTCTTTTCAGTGGCCTTAATTATTAAATAAAAAGCCAAACTAAATAAGAAAATAATTTAATTGTCTTTAAATACAGGCTTTTTTGATAACTAATTCACCAGCTTTATCATGAGGAAATTTAAAATAGGAGAGATCAGCTAATTAATAATATTTCTTAATCTTAGTCATTAAAATAACACTGTACATCAGTGATACTTCTGATTCTCCAGGTAAACTGAATTTCTTCAATTGAACTAGCTTTTCTTAAATTATTTCTGAATTTTAAAGTGTATACAAACAACAGAGCTTATTTTGTAATATACATGACTAACCTGTGAGCACAGCAGAATTCCAGTGTATGGGTAAAGACATTGCAGCCTTGGTGCTGAAAGGGATCTGCCCACCGTATCCTCCTAT